CAACAATAGTGCTTCCTCCTAAAGATCTCATCTTTGAACATTCCCGCGGAAATCAGAGCAGCTGCAAGAAAGCTTTATACCCTAATTCTACTCGCACAAGGCGCACATTTTTTATTATTTACGCGAGCCGCTCAGCCGCGTCAGTGTTTTTTTGGAAAGCGACTGATAAGCAGCACAATTCTTTCAAGCGTTATACAATACGGTACCTGATCCGTTGGCTGTGAAGTCCCTTGGCATGTTTGGGCCGGCCAGTTTTGAAAAAAAACCTCGCGTCTTGTACGCATGAAGGAATGCTCTAAAGGTTGATTTGTTGTTTTCTTTGAAACTTGAATGCAAAAAATGAGGCCAAGTAAGACATGTCAGTAAGTGACATGTCTAGTCTAACTGGGTAGATTTAACTTGGGAAGTACGGTTGAAAAGAAGTTTCGTGTAAAGCTGTTGCAGTTTTTCAAGTTTCTTGATGGGTTTCTTATGAAACGGAGATCATATCTGGGAGCATTATTCTAAATGTGAGAACACAAAAGTTTTACAGAGTACAAGCAGATTTTAGAAAAATTGGTGTTGGTACTCGAAAATGTTAAAACAATGACGCGCATGCCTTTCTGACCATTATGTCGATATCTTCAGTAAAGCTAAGTTTAATGCCTTACAGAGTTTCTAAATCTTCAACGACTTCACAATTCTTCGCCTCTTGCCATTAAGATAATAAATAGATGAATTTTCTTGGCCAAAATAGTGAACAGAGCATCTATTTAAATTGAAGTTAGGTCCCAAGTTTAGCCCGCGAGCCCAGTTTACCTAGAAGTTTCTGCAGATTGACCTAGATTTCCAGTGTTTTATTAGCATTATACCTTTCGTAAATTTTGATATTATCAGCTACATTTGACTGATTTGTGGGGAAGTTCAAGAAACTAGGCAGATCAAGGGTGTAGAGAAAAAAAGATGAAACACCTTATTGCGGTAAACACTGGTGCAGCGGTGTTTTTCAAAAACCGATGACCTACTTTGCCATCAAATAGCGATCACATAGGTAAGACGTCAGCCAAGAAAGGAGATTTCTGTCGACTCCGATGTTATGCATTTTGGCGAGTAAATTGCTGTGACAGACTTTATGGAAAGGCTCGGAGAGATCGACGTAAAAACATCAAAAGATTCTCTTTTATAGAGGAGGGTCTGTTGGTGTATGATATGGTAGCTGATTGCAGGTATGGTTACAGGTATGGTAAGTGATTTTTCACAACTGACATCGCTCCTCTTGAAAAAAGTCGTTCCTCACAAACTAAGCGATCTTTCATGGAAAAGCTTTCCTAACATGAAGTTGTTTATGACCCATTCAGGATGGTCAGCACTGCGGCGAGGTTTCAAAACGATCCTTATGAGAGCACTGGGAAGGAGTATTGGCAGTAGATTTGCGAGACCCCGCGAAGCAGATTAGCAGATTTAACGCACTGCTGCGACAATAATTTACTTTGGTATGCGAATAATCTCACATAACTCTCTATTTGCATTCACATATACACTTGAGAGATAAGCAATTGACATAGGGCGTACATTGAACGGCAGTGATCACTGTACTTTTTGGAGGTGGACTTCGCTCAAAGTATTTGTGGAAAGCTGCCTCTTCAAACAAACTGTTGCAAGAAAGTTTGAATATTAAGGTCGCAAGCAATACGTGTAGCTCCCAAACGTTTGTAAACTTATATGTAAAGTATTGCTCAATAAGTGAGGCTTGCTATTATGACTCATAATAGAGCGCTAAGAGTCTGTCTTTCCGTGCGTTTGTATGTCTTCTGTCACGAAACTCAGAGAGAGCCAAGCTATCGAGCTGCAATTTGCATAATTATTGTAACATAACATAAGTTTATTTTGGCTTGTAAGTCATCATAATGATATCCATCTCGGGCTACATTATCGTGAAAAAATCTCTTTAATTTTCAAGGTAGAAATTTGTCAAACCGACCATCTACGCGATCACCACTTTTTGGCGTTGTTTTCACAGGAAAGCAAACTCTTTTTGGGCTAGAATTCATGGACCACAGGCTTACATGTCAGGCAAATCATAAGTTCGTAAAAAGTCAATTTAGCGACTTGGTTTTGCATGCCAAAAGCCGCGTGGTCCCGTTTGACGCGCGAATTTTGAAGGACCCGCTGATCAAACCGGCTCGTCTTTGTGCATTGTGGACCTGCATGCTGGTACGATATGTTATGCAAGATTGTGACTCGATAGCTTGGCTGCAGCTCCCTCTATGAATCTCTTGACAGACAGACATACACAAACGGAAAACAGACGTTTAACGCTTTATCGTAAGTCATGACCAGCATGTAGGTCCACAATGCGCAAGAACGAGCCGGTTTGATGAGCGGTTCCTTCAAAATTTGCGCGTCAAACGGGTCCACGCGGCTGTTGACATGTAAAACTAGGTCGCTTATTTGGCTTTTTTCACACTCATGATTTGCCTGACAAGAACTTGCGCTCCATGAATTCTAGCCTAAAAACTGCTTGAAAAGTTTGCTTTTCTGCAAAAACAGTGCCGCCATATCGCGTAAATAGTCGATTTGGCGAGGTTCTACTTTGAAAATCAGGGGACTTTTATAAATATAGCCCAAGATAACTATCATCCTATCATCCTTATAACGACTTTCACTATTCCAAACCAAAATAAATTCAGTGATCCATTCAAATTCGCATGTGTTCCTTTGCGAAAAAGTTTTCTTTCTCAAAGTACCGATCTTACATGAAGATGCTTCAAGAATAAACAGCTGTTCACAATTTGTTAGTGTTATTCAGCATCGTGGGTGAGCTTCAAAGTCATCATTATGCGGACACGAGAAAGGCATACGGATAGCAGAGCCAGTGAACCTCGACGAAGCAGAGGTGACGTACTGGTGATGAAAAAATAGGTTCTGAAGTATATTTAGAGAGGCTGATTGTTGTGTGCTTGTCGCTGCGCATAGCAACTAGTATTAGAAATCACTTGAGAGAGCGAAATCTAGTAAAAATGTCAGATTATCGTGGGCTAAGACAACGCTCTCTTTTCAGCAGTGATGTGGACGAGCGGCGGGCCTTCATTATCAGGGCGGGCGGCGAGCCTTAAATTGTGGGCGCGGTCTTATTGCGGGCCTAGCGAGCGGCGGCGTGACGACATTATCATAGTACTTATCTTGAATCATTTCACAATTCTCTCATTGGCGTGATGTTCATTTTTGTCAGGGCTGTCTTTATCGTGATGGTCATTATGAGCTGCTAAAGTGATTTTGAATCAACCGTTGTCGGACCCCGATGGTTTACACGAAATAGGAAAGGAAATAGTCTCTGATGCTATAATGAGTTGTAATCAGGGACTGACTCCTAACATCAATTTCGAAGAGTCTATCTTTTGAAAAATGTTTGATGGCAAGAGTTGTGCTGTTTCTACAAAATTTTAGAGTTGATAAGTAAAATAAATATCAGCTAACGAAGTTCGAAGTAGGATACTACACGGAAGGAATGTTTCAAAATATTCTTGATGTGTACTCGTATACATCTCCACAATCCTGATATCCGACAGAAAATCGACCAAGCTGATTCCACGCGACACTATTCGCTCTACATAGAAACTTAAGAGGTAAGCTACCTAATTTAGCTCGCGCTTTCGGAATAATACACATATGTTTGGAATCAGCCTGAAACGCTGATGCCAAATATACTGTTCCCAGGTGCCACGCATCATTCGGAACGGAGTTACGAGGACCTCGTTCCGTACGACTCCCCCCCCCCCCGGCAAGTCTAGGGGAAACTCGGCGATGAACAATAGAGGTCGTGTGGTAGAATGGTAAGTGTCTCGCTTTGTATGCTGAGGGTGAGCTCGAGTCCTGTTGGACGTTCTTCGTTTTGCAAAGGTAGTCCACAAACCCAAACATGATAAGTGGTCAATCATGTCTACGTGCACCTCTGGTAAGTGGGGTTATCATAAATCGAAGATTTGCTGCTCCGAGCTTGTAATGTAATGTAATGTCGTGTAATCTCTTGTAATGTCGCAAGAGCGAAATGTCTTTGACAGATAAGCAACGACCAGCTCGGAGTAGAACATCTTCAATTTATGATAATCCCACTTGCCAAAGATGCACGTAGACATGATTGACCACTTGTGGATCACGTTTGGGTTTGTGGACTACCTTTGCAAAACGAAGAACGTCCAAACTCGAACTCCGCACCCTCAGCATACAAAGCGAGACACTTACCATTCTACCACACGACCTCATTTGTTCATCGTCGAGTTTCCCCTAGTGCCGGTGGAGGAGTCGTACGGAAGGAGGTCCTTGTAACTCCGTTCCGATTGATGCATGGCACCTGAGAACAGCATATTTGCCATCAGCGTTCCGCGAGCTAAGTTAGGTAGCTTCCCTCTTAAGGAATTTGGTATATATGTTTTACTTATCTTTCAAAAAAATTACCATTCCATCGTATGGTCCTCTACCGAAGATAAACTAGATTGGCAACAACTACCATCTCGAATAATTTTTAGCTTGTATATTACGTTGTGAGTTATATATAACTATCGTAACCTGTACTGTATTTTTTGTAGTATTGCATGCATTGTTGCTTATACATGTAAGTGTAGACCCGTAGAGTGCTCTAAACAGCTTCTTTTACTGCCGGGTAGGTGAGGAATGGCATAAATTTGCCCGCTCAAGGTTGGGTTTGCCTGCTTTACTATCTCTAGCAAGCGGGCGGCGTGCTCAGAAAACGGCCGGGGAGAGGCATGATCGCTCACCCGGAAGAGGCACTGCGCTCGTCCGAATCATAGTCTGAGTTAGCCTAATGTTTTTTCATCTACATGATCAGTTTGTCCGTAAAGTCTCCTAAACATGCACCTGCCCGTTTTGCGGAAGCGTGCGAATGAGCTCTCGCAGTTATTTTGATAGGTTTGAAAAGGATGAAAGGACTTGAGTAGCGTAAGCAAGAGGAGTTCATTTATCATCATTCATAAGGTACGCCAGCTTCCTTCTGCGGACTCTGTCCTTTGAAGTTCTTTACCACTCCAGTCACTTGGATGGGCCGATACGGTTACGATCGCGTGGGGCGTGAACCATCCGGTAAAAGGCAGCATGCGGTTCCTAAATCCGAGCTGGGAATCTCATCAATGGGCAGTGTTTCTGGAGGATGTGATACCTTAGTACTTGAAACCGGTATGCACTGACTTTGATTCTGGTTTATTTTAATTACTTATTTACCAGTGCGTCACCTCTGCTTCGCAGAGGCAATACGAGGAAGGCATGTGGATAGTAGAGCCAGTGCGAGCTCTACTATCCACATGCCTTCCTCGTATTCGCAAAATGATGGCTTTGAAACTTACCTCGCGTTGCCGATCATCACGAATGAAATGTAAACAATTACCCATTCCAAAAGCTCTTTCATGTAAAATCGATGACTTTGAGGAAAAAAAGTATTCCCCAAAGATTAAATGCAATCTGAATCAGTTACTGGGGTTATAATGGCTTGAGAGTCGCCATAAAGATGACGACAACCGTGATTTACATCTTTGATCAAAAATTTTCTCGTATTCCCATGTAAAACCTTAACAAATCATCATCTACGCAATTATTCCTTTTTGGCGCCGATCTTGCGTTAAAGTATGCTTTTTGCCCACTTTTCGTGCTGGAGTCCATGGTTTGCGGATTTACTTGCTAAACGAAACCATGACTTCGGAAAAACTTCAATTACAGGCCCACTTTGGCGCGCGAAATGTCGCGTGGATCTCGGCACACAATTTCACAGGTTCTAATTATCAGATCGGCTTGTGCTTTCGCACATTTCACCTACATGCTGATATGGTGCTACTACCAAAATTCTAGCTCAAGACGTTCGCTGGAACTCGCTCTACGAATTTCGTGACAGACAGAGATTCACACACACACACACACACACACACACACACACACACACACACACACACACACACACACACACACACACACACACACACACACACACACACACACACACACACACACACACACACACACACACACACACACACACACACACACACACACACACACACACACACACACACACACACACACACACACACACACACACACACACACACACACACACACACACACACACACACACACACACACACACACACACACACACACACACACACACACACACACACACACACACACACACACACACACACACACACACACACACACACACACACACACACACACACACACACACACACACACACACACACACACACACACACACACACACACACACACACACACACACACACACACACACACACACACACACACACACACACACACACACACACGTAAACAGCTTTTAGTCCGTTATTATAAGTTGTGATTGACCAGTGCGTCACCTCTGCTTCGCAGAGGCTCGCACTGGCGCTACTTTCTGTATGCCTCACTCATTCTCACATAACATGACAATGTAACTTAACGCGCAATGCCTGCCTTCACGAATAACTCGTTAACAACTATTCATTCCGAAAGTTTTTTCGTGTGGGATCGGTATTTTGGGTGTATGAAATTTTGAAAGATGGAGAACAAATGCAGATTCAAAGCACTTTTGAATTTTTTCATGGCTTAGTAGTTGCCATAAAGGTAATAACTATCGTGACCTATATCCCTATGCAAAAATTTCCTAGAATGGTCGTGTAAAACCGTGCCAAGCCCGCCATTCACACAACCAACTTGTTTCGGCGCCGTTTTCGTAGAGTGATAGACTTTTAGTCACTTTTTTGGGGTAAACTTTATGGCTTGCACATTAACTTGCCAAACATTACCACAACTCTGGAAAAAGTGGTGATACGGACCCAATTTTGCGCGCCAGAAGTTGAGTGGATCCATTTGGGGTACACTTTTTGAGAGACCTACTCAATGAATCTGCTCGTGCTTTTGCATTGTGAATCTAGATGTTAGCAGTGTGTATTGTGCAAAAAATTGCGGCTTGATACCTTGTCTGCGACTTGTTCTGTGAATTTCGTTATAGACAGACAGACACACACACACACAAAAACACGTTAACACCCTTAGCCCGTTATTCTAAGTCATGATATGTGTAAAAGCACGTGAGTAGTAATGATAAAGTTTTACAATGTTAGATAACTGGAGATTAGGAGCTAGAATAGCACTTTACATGCACAAAATGACATCAGCAAAAATAGACATAAAATAATTTTACAGCATACAAGACAATGAAGCAAATGAATTCGCGATTGGAAGGGGGACGATGTAGTTAGAAGTTTAGCTAAAGTTTTCAAAAAGCATTTCGTGCTAGTAGCTTTTTGAAATTAGAAATTATCCCTACAGTAAAGATATTGGATCTAAAAAGCGATCTTGCTTTATGAACTCTTACTTTCAGCATACCTTCTCTACTTTAGGAGATAAACTTCAAAAAATTCAGAAAAATCAACTCTGCATCTTCCTTTCAAAATTTTATAACCGTAGAAAGGTCAAATTTCTTCCTTCTAAAGGCTCACCTAGGAAGAGATAACACTTTGTTTGTTCATCACTCCTAAGTATAAGAAAGTAATTGAAGTTCAAAACTCTCAGAAGTAATTTCTGGCAGAGATGGTTTGCATCCTTTCAGAAACAATGTCTCGAAGGTTGTATGAAGAAGTAACCGAAGTACCAAGTTTGACAATAAGTCGAATGTACATCTTGTAGGCATCGATCAGACTTTAGGGTTTGTGGTTCTGGGGCCTTAAACTGGTGTATGTTTAAAAGAGTGCTTTAGAAACAGTATTGTTGTAGTGAGATGTAAACTACTGCCTTTCGGAAAATGCAAAACCTAAATCTTTTAAAACGACTCAACAGTTTGTTCCCGAAAGACTGGGGGTCAAAAACCATTTGGGTTTTTTGGAAAAATAAAATCAACTCGTCGTACTCAATTGACCATTGATTGATAGCTTCAAGGCAGGATTGTAAGAGCTTCACATCCTTTTAATCATGAATAATCTTGAACAACTTGACATCATCTGCATACATCACGCACTTGATACCTTGATGAGATTCAATGATACCAGGCAAATCAAAAGTGTGAAGAAGAATGAAGGGGATAGAACTCTACCGTGTGGTACACCACTAGAGATGGTACGATTTTTTGAATGTTTACTGCCGACACAAACTTGAAAGTACAATTTTTCAAAAAGTTTTCTGTACTTCTGCACGTCATATCCTCCACCCCACCATTCTAGGTTTAAACAGTTTTGCTGGAACTGTGCAACTTTATCAAATGCTTCGGAGAAGTTGAAAATAACCTATTTTATGTCGCTTATCATTTTCAGCAGTCCAGTCGTTCGTAAGGACTACTGTTTCGAAGATTTGAAAGCCGGGCATATTTCATGCAATTTCAGTCGTGACGAGATCTGGCAATATTCCAACTATCTACAGGGTGTCCCAAAAAAATGTTTCGAACGTTTGATCTTTAATATCTCTCTTCCCAAGAAGTCTTTTGCCTTGCTTCAGGGACCGTTTTGTAGAGCTGGCTTCAACTTAGATTTGCATTATAGAACAAATCACCCATCTCTCTTCATTACTGTAGGATTACGGTAGAAACTTGAAACATGTGGTGTCAATGTGGAAAAAAGCTGCCGTTTCAAAATTTTTCAAATAATTGTGAAAACTTGTGTAATAGGGTTTTTATGGACGCTGAGTTCAATACTCAACTGTTCACAAGGTTACGAAGTTTTCTAAATGGTGTAATCGCACTTTTTAGGAACATTGAAAAAATGGCCGCTACCTCTTACCCGGCATAACTCTTCAATGAAGCATCATAATAAGTCGGAAACTTTACAGTTATAATCAGCAACTGTAATTAGTCTAGTGTAAAAGCTTCCGGACTGTTTTCCTTTCTGAGGCAAAATATGGCCTTTCATGGCTCAAAATCCTCTTTGAAGTTTCTACCGTAATCCTACAGTAATGAAGAGAGATGGGTGATTCGTTCTATAATGCAAATCTAAGTTGAAGCCAGCTCTACAAAACGGTCTTTAAAGCAAGGCAAATTGGGAAGAGAGATAATAACGATCAAACATTCGAAACATTTTTTTGGGACACCCTGTATAACTCATTGTAAGCACATTCTGAATGTACAGAAGATAGGGCATTTTATTTATCATTTTACGTAAGTTATGCACACCACGCATGTGCAGTCTGCTAGCATTGGATCTGAAAGCTTCTGGCGAATTGCCAATCGCGCCGCGACTGAAATCGCGTGAAGTATGGCCCGGTCCTTTAGCTTACAAAAACCATGTCGACATGAAGATATAATAGAATGCTTTTTCGAATGAGAAGCAATCTGTTCTCTCAATATTTTGCCAGATGTTCTAGCAAGGGTAAAGGCTACACTCATTGGCTGTTATTTTTTGGATCGTTGTAGGGTGGTTTCGTACAAAGGAATGATACCAGGTCGCATTAGCAAACAGAAATGATATGCATATCGTTAGATGCGTCTTGATGAGCCGATTCCAAATCTAGCACCGGTACTGCACCACATCTTCAAGATTTATTTGTTCGAAAGCACTTATTTGTGTGTGGTCAAGCATCTAAACCCATGTCAATTAATCACTTCCAAGCTGGGTCTTAAAGCACATTACGCATCGAAACCCCAATAGTTCACACTTTTAACCGCCCATAACTTCTTCTAGAGAAGCACTCAGCAGATAATGAAGGTGGATTTGAAATCAGCTTATCAAGTCGCATTTAATAAAATGTATGTCATTTCGGTTCGCCATTGCAATCCGGTATCTTTCCCTTGTTAGGAAAAGGAGTTACATGAGAGTGCTTTCACATATCAGAAACTCAATTCTCTTCTCATGTAGGAAGGACTGAGTAAAATCTAGAGGTTAACCGACTTCAGGGAGACTTCTTTGATGAAAAACATGGCTAGTAAATATGAAACGTATTTGTCTACAAGATGTGTTGATCTTGTTAAACTAAAAAACCCGCTTTTTTTGACGGATAAGTTTTTTCTTTAAATGGATGTGGACTCGTGTGAAAACATTCCAAGTTTATTATCAAATTTTCTGAAAGCAGACCAAGTTTCAGTACTTTCACACTCAACGCTTCCAAAGCATATCCCGCTTTTAATCATGGTGGTTAGGTAGATGGTAAGCTTCGTTGATTTTCCATATTTCTACGTAATGAAATGAACTTTATCACTGCGTCTTGTAAAATGGCAAGAAAAAGTTTATACATTTTATTGACGAAATTCAGGGGTGTGAAGCAAACTAACCAGACAATTTTAAATAAATACTTTCGCACAATAGAATAGTTCGCAATCTCAAAATCCCTGACAAGGATCTCTGCAGAGGGAGTATAAGGTACTTGGTGAGGAAAGTTAACTGTGGAGTGATCACTGGGTCCAAAGGGAGGGGATATTTTGATACCAACAATCAGGTTAGAGATTGCAAAAAATGGACTGACTTTTCTCTGCTGAGACCTTTGACAAACTACACAAAACCATGAGTGGTAATAAAATCATTGAATACTTTTCTAGAGTTGCACTGAATCATTATTTCGGAAGAGTATGAAGTAAAATCGATGTGGGAAAGATTGAATTCACCTAGCAAGATAGTGGGCCTTTAAAAACACCAAAACTGCTGAGTGTCTTCTTGAAATTGATGAGCATAGCGCTACAATTAGGCAGCTTGTAGATCAACATCAATTAAATTGTTTCGTTTGAGAACAAAATATTGCAGACTAAGATTTCAGGGGGAACTAGCTATTGATTCACTGAAATCACATTTATTGAGATAATTTTTTGAATCAAAACAGCAACTCCTCCTCCTCTACAACGAGTTCGGTCACACCCGATCCCGGTGTATGTTGGCGAGGCAATACCAAGAAAAGCTGAGAGTTCGTTACTAGTTTTCAGCCAGGTTTCACTTAAGAAAACAACATCAAGATGCTCACTACAAAGTTTCAAAATCAAATCGTCCGCGTTGCTGACCATGGACCGTATAATAGAAAGATAACATGATAAATGAAAGTATTTAGTTTTTCAGAGGGATGGTAAGCGGGGAAGACATAACAATGGGGTCAGGTCATTGTGTACGTAAAGGAAGGGAAATGCATAGTAGAAGTCAAATTCGGATTTTTCAAGCCAATATCAGATAATCTGGGGCCACATGCATTAACATCTCCGCCGGGGAAGAGATTGCAGCTTAAAAGAAAGCTTCATATCATGAAGCTCCAGATATATGAATTCAAGGAACTACCTATCAGTAAGTAATACTACATCCTTCACCAAGAACATATTGAACAAAAGCGAGGAGCTGTACACGCCAAATTTTTCACATTTTTGTATGATCTTCTGTTAATCCCCGGCTGCCGTTGGTTTTTTCAAACTAAGTTTTCTTCCTTCGAAGCTATTAAAAGCATTCCAAATTTGCACTGATTACTAATCTAGCAATGTGAGCATGTTGCTAATAAGAACAAACGAATTTCTAAGGTATCGAATTTTTTTTTTGATAAACCCTAACTTTCGACTAGCGGCTCATCTCAAACTTCATGACTCCAATACTTGATTCATTCTTAACAGCAACATGCTTCGCACTATTGGGTTAGATAATTAGTACAGCTTCAAAAGTTTGCGTTAACATCGAAAAAAGAAAAGTGTCTTCAAAGAAAAGACGATCGGCCGCCGAAAATTATCAGGGAATCATACAAAAAGCTAGAAAATGCTGCCTGTACAGCTTCTTGCTTCTGTCCAATATGTTCATGGTGAAGGATGGCAGGATGGGATAGATACGGATAGGTAGACAGCAGTGGCGTACCAGGATTTCGGCTCGGGGGGGGGGAGGCGACACACCCGATTTTTGGTACCCTTCTTAAAATTTTTACGGGCCCATAACCGCAAAATTTTAGAAAAAGGGGGCGCGTCAGCCACGCCCCGAAAAAAATTTTTTATAAGGCTAAATTGAATTTTTAAAAATTATTTCAATTACTTACAAGTATAAATAAGTCTCTTGCATATTTTTATAACTCATGTAAGTAACTTTCAAAATTTCGCGACCCATTTTCGGGGGGGGGGGGGCAATTTGGGTATCTGAAACTTTAGGATATGAAGCTTTCCTTCAAGCTGCGATCCCCTCCCCCCAGGCGGGGATGGTAGTGTATGCCCCCTTATACTGACTCTTTTCCCTCAGACGCTCTCTTACCTCCCTCGGCATGAGGGACGTACGAAAGCATTTTTTTCAAGAAAAACTTCAATTTAGGAGTACGAGTACTAGCTTGCCCTTATAGCTGGTAGGAAAGGCAATATTAACAAGCCTACGCTTTCCGATATTTTCGTCCTATACGATATACGGCACATGGTTACCATTCGACGCTAAGAAAGTCAAGTAATGCAAAAATACTGTTGAAATTATGGTTAACGTTTTGAGAACAGACTGTAAATTTGCATTCAGGAACAACGGCTACACCTATCGGACGCTTCATCTCCATTTCACTATTAGTTGGGAACTCGGCCCGCTTCAACTTACTGTTTTCCGCTCTTGCCTGCGCATCTTCTTTGATTATCTCTCCATCTTCTGATTCAGCACAACAACTTCTCTCTTTGTTCCCATCAAAACATGGACCATAATCTTCAACGATTGAAAAGCCTCTTCAGCCGTAGTCCTTAAGATGTTTGCAGAAATTCAGCAGAAGTCAGAATAGTATTTTTGGAGTCTTCCTTTGGGCAGAAAAATCAGCAGAAATGCTTTTGCAGGACGTTTGCATTAGCGTTCTCCTCAGAGACCTTTGATATAGTAAGCATGCTGGGGATGATGGCCGATCGGCTATTGCGAGAGTAAGATGCCGCATGTTTATCGATATGGATTTTTTAGCACCAGAAAAAAGGGCACCAAAAAGAGAAGCAACTGTCCGAACGCAATCAAAAATGGTTGGTTTGTTTTAGCAAAAACATAGAGCCAACAGCAAGGGAGTGTTCCAGGGAGTACTTACCGCAGTTCTGGCTGTTCTATTCTCTCAATATGTTATTTGTGTAGCACTTGCCATACTTATCGTTTTACACCATAATCGCTCAATAGATTGGTAATTTGAAATAACTACAAATAGACGCAATTTGAAGCTTATTTCAGGTTTCCAGCACTCATCGAAGTCACAGGAAAGGGTTATCCGAAATCAATTGATGAGATTGAATAACGAACATTCTATCAATACTTTCAATACTCATAAATGTCTACTCGCACTCTGTTTTGGAAAGTAAACCTTCAAAACAAGTATTATGTTGCAATCACCCTAAGTCTCATAAGTGTAAGCAGACTTCAAATTTTATGTCATTTGCAAAACATTTTTTGCACTGTCGTTCGTATTTGTTCGTGTCTTTTCGAACAAGACTGACTAATAGCAACCTGTTGAAGTATTGAGAGCAAAGATCTGTACATGTTCAGTTCAAGGACTATTATGAAAACTTGATTTTGGGCATGAACATCGCTTTTCACGCGAGAAAATGTAGCATGTTAGTTGACAAAGCTGCACCCCCAGGTCCGGCTTGATTCAGTTATGCTTGATCTAGCATAAGATTGGGATGCCAATCCCGGAATTCCTGTCTTTGGAATTTGTAGTTTCTTAGTTCGTTCCCCTCACTTTTTGTGCTCTACCCGTTCTACCCCCCCCCCCTCTTCAACCCCTCCCCTCTGCTTCCCTTCGCTCACTCCTACCCCACTCTCTGCGGTTATAATCGGTGCCAGCAGCAGTGCATTGCAGGAGCAATTATAGACTGTATCACCCGGGATCGACATCGCACCGACACCTTGAGACGGCGGATTGTCGCAAATATGTGCTTTTGAGTATAGCACGTTCGCAAACACCGCACCGTCGCTAATCGCCGCAGCCTGGCATAACCAATATCTTTTGGGTTGGACCAGACTACTCGGCACGTGGTTTACGCGATGTACGCAGCGTACGCCCCATATCTTTATGCGCAGTGCGCACACTGTGTGCACCGCCCATTCTGGTCCAACCCTCAGTTACAGTCTGTACATATGATTGGTCACGCCCGTGCTCTTATAATTTAGAAGATTCACCACTCACTGATTTGCTTTACGTTCTTTACTGTTCACTAAATATACACTAATGTCTTATCAGAAATCAGAAATCCTAATGTTGTTAAGGGTATAAAAAAGTTTATGAAAGAAAGCTCAAGTTTGTAGAATGGAAAACATTGCAAAAGCTCCGTAGGGGATAACGGAAGAATTCGGCGCAAAGATAGCATTCCACATCACTCCTGTTATTTTGACGTTTATGCTGAGTCCTACCGGTCCTTATCAGAGTAATCGCTGATGCTTTATAGAATAATTTATCTTTCATTTTGTCGAACATTTTCTAGGTCGGTAATCAAATCTTTTCACACCGGAAAGCACTAAAGAAATGAAAAAAATGAGTTTTCAGTTACGTGACCGAAACACTAAGGATGATTGAATTATCATAAAATAGCAAACGCAGCTCCCAATATCGAAGCTTTAAAGTCATGTACATACTTCTACTGTTCTCACAGACTATTGAACAGTTGCGCACAGACGCATGAGCTGCGTCTTGGCTTTTGGCTTTTCAAATGGTTCCCAGTGTTCTTAGTGATTCTCGCTGGTCTCTCTGATGAACTCAGTACATGTCATTTCGAACGCGATTTGTCCGGCAGCTATCTCTTATCACGGCCGCCGAGGGAAATTGATGGACGTCGTGACTGCAGGACGTGCTCGTTGTGCGCATAGGGCGAGCAGTGGACCCCAACTCGCCGTGAGCTTAACTGTATCTAATTTGTTTTCCTAGGACGCGAAGGGAGGTCGAAATGGCTTTGAAGCAAACCCAGACTTTTTATTAAAAGCAGTGTTTAAGCAAATCTGAGCACATGGGTTTTTCTCCTGGAAACTGGAGAGGGGGTCCTAAGGCACTGCACAAGCGGCAGCGCAAATGGTTCACCCACGGCTGAGAAATTTATCCGCTAACCCTCCGCGCTTGCGCCGTGACCGTAACCCGCGAATAACTTTGACGCTTTGACGCTGCGTTCGCTCTGGGACCTGTCCTTAGGTTATTCGCGAATCACGGTCACGGCGCAGGTGTGGAGAGTTTGGGATGGATTTCTCAGCCGTGAGTGAAGCATTTGCACTGCCTGTTGGGCCGTGACTTAGGCCCGTATGCACGTACATCCCCGCGGGGAGGGGAGGGGATCTGAGAGGGCAAGCGTCATATCTCGCTAGTCTATGTATCTTTCTTCTTCTTTCTCTGTCTTGCTTTTGAAGGTTCTCATACACTGATACTTGCGCATAATGGATGCCAGGTTACTGCCATACAAGATTGGATGTTCACTATTTCGTCTGATCCCCTGGGGATCCCCAAGGGATCACCTCAGATTTTCAAAGTTATTTATCTCCCTAAAAACTCGATAAAATGCTCTAAAATTGTACCGAGGATATAAAGTGCGGTTCATAATTATACGAACATCCCAAATTTTGAAAGTTTTTGGACTTTTTGGAAGAGACTCAAAAAGCCGTTGGTACCACGCGATAGAGCACAGCCGAAAACGGTATATGATCCGTAAGAATAGAAATCTATGTCAATCTGAGGAGTGTTTTTGCGCCTAATGCGAATTTTTAGCGGTTCATAATTATACGAAAACCTTGAACAAAGGTCCATTTTTCATTCAAGATTGCAATCTAGATAATTTGTTTGACGCTTGGAAAATCTATGCGTTTTCGTACCGTTTTTCAACCAAGTTCCAAACTTACCCTAGAGTCAGCACGCTTTCGAGCCTCAAAACTCAGCTTCGGAAGCCCTACAATGAAGTAAGCAGATGGTATGCAGAAGCTCACAAGACCATGTATTTGGCTAGAAAAAAATCAGCAGCGTTGAGCGCTTGTTTTGGCCACGCAGACGTCATTTTACCAAAACCACTGTTTTTATTATTGCAATCACAACTTTATTTGGTTTTTTGCTCTATAGCTTCAACATCAGTTCTACAAAAAACGCAAAAACGTTGGCACGGATACATCATCATGCGAGGAATGCAGATGCTTCATATCAAATGTTTGCGCGAGAGAGAAGCTGAGTTTTGAGGCTCGAAATCGTGCTAACTCTAGGGTAAGGTTGGAACTTGGTTGAAAAACGGCACGATAACGCATAGATTTTCCAAGCGTTAAACAAAATATCTATTTAAAAAGCTTATTTTATCTTATAGCCTTGGTACAAGCTAATTAGAGTACGTAAACCACAGACGTATGTTTTTGGAGCGCAATCACTTCAAAAGCATTTAGAGCCATCTGAAAAAAGTAACGATCCTCTTTTTGAGCTGCACTGGGTTCAGTGTGTAGCATCTATGTCAGACTTTGTTACTGTAACTCTACAAAAAATTTGGATTCGAAAGATTGCAAGCTTGAATGAAAAATGGGCCTTTGTTTGAGGTGTTCGTATAATTATGAACCGCTAAAAATTCGCATTAGGCGCAAAAACACTTTTAAGATTGACATCGATTTCCATTCTTGTGGACCGTATACCGTTTTCGGCTGTGCTCTATCGCGTGGTACCAACGGCTTTTTGAGTTTTTTCCAAAAAGTCAAAAACTTTTAAAATTTAGGGTGCTCGTATAATTATGAACCGCACTTTACTACAGCACTGCTAAACATGTTTATGGTAGAAATGATTGAAATCTCAAGATATCAATATCTTTGATGAACCGCTGCTCACGAGCCAGGAATTATCGAAAAATTCAAAATCTTCAGATTTTTGCAAAGTTTGGGTTACAGGGCTGGGAGTTGGCACAGAGGGATCGAGCATGCTGATCACAAACATATTATTGACAGGCCCGGGCGGAGCCGGGTTTGCCAACTAGTTACGACGTATTTCGGGTGTTTACTATGGGCCCAATGGTCTTTTCTTCGCAGTCATTTGCTTCTTTAAAGATGAAAATATTATTTTGAAGTTGTACTTATCATGTGCGACAGTGCTGCAAATGATTCAAAAAGAGCAGACGAGGTATCAAAATAATAAAAATTTTGGTAAATCTCAAGGCAAAACCCCGGGGTTTATCGCAATCCTCAATACTTCATTAACTATTTATTCTTGTCAAAAATACACTTAGCATTGTTGGGTTAGAAATCTGTACATGTTTTGCTATGTCACTACTGCTGAAGAAAGGCACGTGACTTCAAAGAGAAGATTGTTTGCGGCTTGGTGAAGAAAAGAAAGTTGGCGGCAGGGATCAGCAGGGAAGGTAGCGTTCGATGCAAATTTTCATCCTCTTTCTAAAGGTTATAGAATTATTGCAGAACAATCAATGAGCTTTTGAAAAATTACGAAAGTCTTCGATTCAAGCTTTTTGAGATGCTCAAGTTTCACAATTTTTCCAAATTTGCACATCAATCCTCCGAAGGAATCTAAGCAACGATTCGATAGAGCAAAGCTCACAGGATATGGGGTAACTTTTTTTTCGTATTTATGTCTCGTTATAATTTTCTAAAAGATTTTTTATCACTACCATCATTTTGACAGGCTTATCTCAGTCACATTCGCATCAAACAGGAATAAATCTTCGGAGTTCAAAACTTCCAAGATGGTATTATGATTAAATACTAATTTTGCAAGGCGAATGAGAGTTTACGGAATCGAAATATCTAATTTCAATTTTTTCGGGCATAGCTCGGAACACGTTTGGAAATGTGAATTGTGATGATTTTATATGCAAAAACTTCACGAAGGGGAAAGAAAAAGCATCCATTAGAAAGAGGAGAATAAGCTGCATCGAATGGCACTCGAGCTGCTTACCGATTAGAAAAACTAGGTGGCTTTAGAATTTTGTCCAGCTTTCAAAAAGGCTTTTTGAATTTTTTCGTTTTTCTCCGTTCACACTCAACAAGACTGGAAGCCGTTTTGAGGATTCGTGGTAGGTTCAAATGCGCACAGTACAGCAAAGTTTCAGACAGATTCATTGACAAGAACGAAAATTACGACGAGTTTTAGAGTGGCTCTATAATTATGTCCAGCACTGTATTAGGTTGTCCCAAAAGTTCTTGCGCCGGATTTTCAAAAAATCATAACTTCCTTTCTTCTCGACAAATTTTTTCAAAATTATTTCTGTTTGAAAGGGGAAACATTTGTCTTTATAGCGGTGCCTTTGACATGAATCAGTATTAGAAAGTTCGAGAGCTATAGGCAATTGAAGGAAATTAGTCAAGATCAGCATTTTTCAAGCTGGATCATGAAATTTT